AACTTTACTGATCGATAACAACTGAAGGTAAACTACGATTGAAAATAATTGTTATGCTTTAAAGTTTAAGCTGGAATTTAATAGTTGTCTCGTGTAGTCGTGTGGAACCCGCCTAAGACACCCACAACTTTACCGCTACAAGCTTATGTTTTCATTGTTCACAATTTTATGCGCAAACAAGTTGTCTTAAATTAAAAAAAAAATGTGCTCAAATGAGTCCCCACCTGCTAAGGTTAAGGTGTCGACGAGATATTTGTATACTCCATCCTGATGACAAGACTTATTGAAAATGAATGTGCATAATATTCAAAAGGTGGCAACTCAATATTTTTCTTTTTTGGTAACCAATGTTGTTTTGCAATGTCCCCAGCCTACTAGAAAATACATGTTGTGTAGAGTATTTTTTTTCAGAAAGCAACATGCCAAAGAAGTGCTATAGCACCCTAGTACCCCTGTTCCCAGATCTGTGGCTGATTTGATATACTATGGGGTTTGGCCAGTATATGGTAGAATTTTTTATTTCTGTGTGTTTATTAATAGGTGTACTCCGCTATTCGGATTCTCATAAATTGGTACAATAGGTGCTAATATTTTTATGGATGTCAATGAGTGAGGAGAAGGTGCTTATTTCGGTCATATAGGTACGGTTATTAATTGTTTCATGAGCTACTTTGTCAGCTTTCTCATTGTTATATATTCCATAATGGTCTAGTACTCTAGTGTCCATATAAACCGTATGTTCTTGTTGGCCTTCTCAATGATGTTGCTTATTTTAATTGTTTGGGTGCTTGAGTGCAAGTTATAATTCAGTTTGTTAAGAGCGCTGAGCGAATCTGTACAAATATTAATGGTCAAATCGGGCAGTTGGTTGGCTAGATGGATACTGGATTCCCTCGACTCTCGAGGAGTGTAAAGTATTCCGCATTTCTGCTGTATAGATGCAGTGATGGTCTGGTAGTTTGTACGATAAGGATTGGTCGTCACTAGGTATATATGAAAGCGATGGCAACACCTGAGTTTGTTTTGGAAGCGTTTGTATAGATTTGTGGGTTCGACGGAGAAGAGTCCACATCATTGAATACATTTTTATATATGTATAGTATTTTACGATTGTTTTTTAGTATAATCTACTATAGAGTTATAGACTGGTGTCTACAAAAATTGTTATAATTTAAAAACGAATTACAGTAGATACATGAAAATTTTACTGAATGTTTATATTTTCATTTTCTATACACCATACAGTTTTTAAAATATTTCAACTTGTTTTGAGCTGTTTATGGACATTTCCAATTTTCAGTCTTTTAGTTAATTTTTTCTATAATGTCAATACAATTTTATTCGTTGGGTCAAAAAACTTTAAAATGTAATATAAGCTGGCTTCTGATATATTGTTACAATAGCAGTTGAAACATATTAAAAATACATAGGCACGTTTTTATTTTATAAGCATTTAAAGTACGAATGTTGACGAAATATATCCAATTGGAAATTTACAAATTATTTAGTAAGTAAATGTTTATAAAATGCTTAACTTTTATAGCTAAGAACTGAAAATTGAAAACAAGTGCGTAGGTAGTAAACATAAGTAGGTAGTTAATTCTATAGCCAAAAAATCTAAAAAGATAGGTACATAAACACTGTTTTTTTTTTTACAGTTATTTTGAGTTAAAATTTGGACGAAATTACATTTAAATAACCAAGAATAACGATATTAGTTATTTTTTTGTAATTTTATAATATTAATTTTAACTTAACTGCTAATAACAATATAAATATAATAATATAAAATAAACCTCGAAATATGCTAAATAACATTTTGTATTTGAATTAGTATAGTTGTAAATCAAATTTGTAGCTGATCTGGTTTGGTCCATTCAGTAAAAATATAAAAATGCATAAACTTTCAGGCCATATATATTAATTATTATATTATGTACCTTAATAAATAATAGGTACCATACAATTTTTATACCTATGTAAGTATGATTCAGTATTATTACTATTTTTATTGCGTATAATTATTAACAAAACAAATTAATATAGGAACCTACTTAACTTAAATAGTATACAATTATACATATTATATTTAATTACCTACTTCGTTCGCAGTTTCACAACTCACAAGTTACAACAAAAAACATAATAAGAAAATGAAGTCGAGTCAAGAAAATATACAAAACCGTTAACCATGGATGACAATTAAGAATATGGTATAAAAATATAATAGCAATAAATAAATAGCCTATGTGTAATCCAGACATTTTATAAATCTTTATCGATGGTCGATGGTGACGAGTTGTTTACTGGCGCGTTTTTTACTTCATCTATACGGGGGCGTATGCAGCGTGTACGGCATAAATGCATAATGTATTATAATAGGTATACTAATATACTAATATACGTATCCCGGTATGGCGCGGGTATCCGACGGCTTATTCTGCAGCTTAAATATACAATGTGCAGGTGAAGAAGTAATAGACTGGAGTCATAATATTATGATAGACATTGTCCATTGATAGTCAGTGTTGGGTAGTAACGTAACGAAAGTAACGCGTTACGTAATTTCATTAGAATTATTTCCAAATAACGAAAATGTAATGAAAATTACTTTTAAAAAGTAATTTCTATAGAATAACGCGTTACAGTTTCGAATTATTAAGTACCTACTCACCTACTGTGAATTGAAAAGAAAATATATGTATAATGTGCCATGTGGGTATTATTATGTTTAAAAATCTCATATGCCTATATGACCTATATGCCTCATGTACCTATATTTAATTTTAACTAGCCACTATTCAGTTTTCAATGTTTTTGACATTTGAAATGTCTAATTGCACAGTACAAATCACGAAAACAGTTAATTAAATTTATTATTTAATTTGGATTTTGATTCATTTAAATAGGTTTCCTATGAATAGCTTGTGTGGAATCCTATTAACTATACAGGCATTAGGCATACAGGTTTTATAAAGAATTTGCTTGTTCAATTTGCCTGCAGAAGAAACTTGCCAAGAAATTAAATTTTTTTTTTTTGTTACGAGAAAGTAATGAATTACTTTATACTATTCGAAAAGTAAAGTAATTTCATTGCAATTTTATTTGAGTAACGAGTAAAGTAATTTAATTACATTTATCTCTTAGTAACGAGTAAATAATAACTCAATTACTTTTTCAAAGTAACTTACCTACGCCCAACACTGTATATTATAGTATATACGATATCGGATAAACCTTAAAGACTTAAATTATGAAAATACTTAAATACCTACCCCTTTGAAAAGTGGATCTAACCTTTATTTTTTTAGTTATTAGGCAGTTCAATTTTTTTATTAAATCAAACCGAACCGCCCGAACCTTACGCACATTTGCTGAAGTCTCTTCAAAATCTTTTTAACTTTTTATCGTAATTTTTTTTAAGCTATTTTACTTACTATCAACTAAAATACATAATAAAACCAGAAATGTACGAATTATTTCAGTAAATTAAAAAAAAAAAAAGTAGCCAAAAATGAGCCTTTTTGAAAGGAAATCAAGTATAACTACAAATAACATGCCGTATTTACTAGTCATTTTCATATCAACCATAATTTCCGAGTAATACCGATGCTATTGTGCTAAAGGTGACACAACTTTCGTGATTGTAATTATTGTCAATAGATAATAATTACTATTTACTGGACAACGAGCTTAGATGAGGCATGTTGCATTTTGGTACTCACAAAAAGGTACAATGTAGAACAACTAAATGTTTAAGGTAATTTAGTTATTATGAAATATTATAAAAAAAACTATTACGTCAATTGTCAAATCTATGTTATGAATAATGTACCTACGTAATCTGAGAACATTTGGAAAGATGAACACTTAACCTCAAAGCTCAAATGGGTGGCCTTGGTCGTATATAGCCAACCAAATATATAACAAAAACATCTATCAAGGGTCAATTAAAAAATCCCATTTGTACACCTAAAATCGTAAAATATTTTTTAGTTTCAATAATAAGTATTAAAAAATGATTTAATATTAAAATGTTATAATTTAAATATTCATTTTCTCATACTCACTATTGACACAACAAACTGCAATAACTGAAAGATAAATTAGTATAGCTCTAATTCTATTGTATAGGGTACTGAAATATATTCTAGGTACTGCAATATATTCTAGGTACATTTCAAAATCAACTAAAGATTACAGGCAATTTGTTTATTATATAGGTATTTATAATAATATACAAAAACATATTTTATTTATGTACCAAACAAAGGCCTACAAATAATACACCACTTTTAGATTATAAAAAAAAAATAATAATAATAATAATATTTAATAATAATTCTTATTTTATATAACAACAAAAAATAATAATAATATAATATAGAACTCAATTTTAACAGAATGAAATACAATACAATGGATACAATAAATGGTTTTGAAAATATAAATCAAAATTTCTCCTAAAGTTGTTATAATAAATGTGGTTTGTCTATCAAATTTTACCAACGATTGATGATTTTTAAAAGTAACAAACAAACATTGTACATAACCATTACATTGATAATCGCTTAAAAACATTCATCATTTATGTGGTTTTTAGGAAATAAAATAACATAAAGTATAGTTCAAGATAAATAAATACACTTTAGAATAATTTTTTAAAAAAAATGGTAGGCTATTGAAACGTAAACAAATATATAGGTAGTAATATAAAAGCCATGTGAAATGTTTGGTTACAACATAATAATATACTAACATCGGTTGAAGGCAAAATAAAGGGTAATTGTTACTAAAATATTATAAATTCTGTTATGTTTTAAATAAATCTGAAGATAGTTATATAATTATAATATGTTTAGCACCTATATTTTGAAAAAAAATTGTTTAAGAGTTTTAAACTTCTAGTGTTTTTTAATAATTTAAATTATAACTAATAATTTTTGACAGCAAAAAAATTATATGAAGTTTTGTAACATACAGTTAATAATTTTGTTAATTTACCATGTGTCTGATGGGCTATTATTTGATGCAGGACTTTTTCTTTCTGCACCTGGAGCTGGGCTAATACCAAATAATCCACCAACTGGACACCTTTTATTCAATTCTACATGCATAAATAAAATAAATAAAACCCTTTAATATAATAATATAAATTACAAATTAATAATAGTTATACAATGTGTTTTTTGTGTTACCTAACACAATCTATAAAAATAATCACTCCGGGATGTTATTATCATTTAAAAAAACAGTTCAATGTCCATTGCCCACTGTTGAAATTATTTAATAGGTTCACAATATTTGTAAGAACGTATATTATCTGTACACTTGCATTCCTAAGTTACTGGGTTACCTCATAACATCTTTAGCTTTAATTAATCATTGCATTTTAATATAGTTCTTCAATTTTTAGTTAATAAAATAATGTCTATAAATACTATAATAAAATAAAAAATTATATTATATTAAATATTTTCTGGGTAAAAGTTTAATTTGAAAAAGTTAATAAGTTGAATTATTAAAGTATGAAGTATACAAATATTGGGTAATGTACTTAAGAATTATAATTATACATTAGGAGCTTCAACAAATTATCCTGAAATGTATATTATGCAACACCTTATGAAAAGACTTATTTTGTACTATTGTCTGGGATTTCTGAAAACATTCAAATATAGTCCAACAATTATTTGGTAAGATTACAACATAAATATTTTACAATTTATATTATATAGCTGATCCCGTGCACTTCGTTGCCCCGTTAAATGTATCAATTCTATATGTCTCAAAGTTTGTTCAATTCGTTATTTAATATTCGGTGTATGCGGTGTTCAAAATTAATCTTAACTTTTCCGTTGCCCCGAATAAAAATTCTGATTCGCAGCAGTAATCTACCTGCGATAGATCGCGTACCCTGTGCTGTTTGTACGTAAGTGTATGATTTAACTCTAAAGTATCAAAGTTATACCAAGTTTATCGTTTTTACTTAATTTCGCCTAAGGTGGATTATTATAATCATTTTATACAAAATCCTATCCTAACCTAACCGTACTAAAACCCGATGAAAAAAAAACAAATTTAACCCTTAGTAAATTAACCTATCTTCTTCCCAGACGTCTAATCTACCCACAAACATTAATTTATATATATATATATAACTATATAAATACACGGACTATAACTATACAGACTCTGGAACTACTTATTGGATCTTTTTGTATTTATTATATATATATGATATATGTATACCTATTGACAAAAAATAATGATACAAATCAAAAACATGCCCGATTAACCAATAGCAACCGATATAATATAATACACTGGTGGATTTTCCTAACATTTTTTTTTTCATATAAACCTTATCCATGAAATACTCTTTCATTTAAAAAAAAATAAAGAAGATCTGATAAGAAGCTCCAGAGATAAGTAGTACAGAGATTTTCATTTCACATTTTTATAGTTAGATATTATATTACAATTTATATTTAAAAAGTAAAGCAAATAGTTTTTTTTTTTTATTATTTTTATTATTGCAATAGCTTAAAAACCCATGGCAACCATTTATAAACAAAAATTTCCATCGGAAATCTCAAAATTCCCGTTTGAGCACCTCCCGGGGTTGGTCCTCTCCCTTTTTAAATTAGCCTATCTTTTAAGTTGGACCAAATTACACGCGGTGTAAAAAATTTCATCAAATCGGTTAAGTGGTTTAGGAGTCCATTGAGGACAAACATTGTGACACGAGATTTATATATATATTATAAGATAAACAATCTATGAGTCATATTTTTATGATAAATTTAGAAATTAAAATTAATCTAAAGCAAATAATGTTTTTGCAATTGAAGGTTTTAATATATAAGAAAAATATAGTATTTTACCTGCTATAGATAACAATATCTTTCTTCGAGCTCCTAAGGCTGTAACACCAATTTCACGTAGGTCACTTTCTGTCAATGTCTTGAAAGTAGTCCAATCAATTTCATGGGATTTAAATAAATCTAGAGTACATAAAAACATTTATACCATATTATAGTATGATACTATATTGAATTGAATAACTAACTTACTTATATATTTATCTAAACCAAGAATTGCCAAATGAGATGGTAAATCAGCAAATGAAGAAGATGTGATTTTAGACACAGTCGATGTAGGCGTGGAGTCAAGATGATTACTCATTTCCATCGATGCCAGTTCAGAAATATCATTATTTATTTCAGGTGTAGAGTTACTCCATATATTTAGCTCATTCTATAAATTTGAAAATAATAATATTATTATATAATAAGAGTTTAGATAGTTAAAAATAAATTTACATCTCGTTGTCCTTTTAAAATAGCTGAAGGACTTGATTGACTAAAACCATAACCAGACCATACAGATGTTGGAACTCTTATTTCAGATCGATTTGGTTTACTTTGAGACACTATTAAATATATACAATGCAAATTACATAACAATTTTTTTAAATTTAACGTTAAATGTACCTTGTGTTGCAGCAACCCGTAAATTATGGTAATCATAAGTTATCGGCTGTCTTCGAAAACCAGGTGCACGGTTCTCAAAAATTTCTAAATCTAATAAAGAAAATCATTTATTTACTTGAAAAGTTCTGTACTTTATTAGTTGAGAGTTAAGATTTGTTAATATTTGAATAGTTTTTGTTAAATTTAAAAATAAAATAGATACCTAATTCATTACACGATGACAACAAACTTTGATTTGGAGAAGTATTTGAGTCTTGCATATAATTAAATGCTAAAAAAATGGTAAAATTAAATTGAATTATTTAAAATAACTATAATAGAGGTTCTCAAACTGTGGGATGCAGAAGACTACATATTGATTTGCCGAATATAGATAAAGTAAGAAAGTAATACATTCCAGATAATATTGAAATAAATATATTGAAATTTTGAATATTATAGTTTTATTTTTAGCCATTAGTGGTATTATTATGACTGTTCAAAAATACAGAGGTTTGCAAAAACAAAGTTTGAGAGCCTCTGGTTTAACATAGTAGTATAATATGATGATTTACTTGATTTTCCAATGTGATTATTATTAGTTGATAAATTGTCCATTTTTATATCGTTAGCCAACTGTTGTATTCTTGGGCCCAAAACGTTAATCTGAGAAATATTTCCATGATTGCTTACCAAAGGTAAATTAATTACACTATTTTGACATGATGTAGAAATTGATCCAGGGAAGTTTGCAAAATTATTAAACCCGCCTAAATTGTTAAAAGATTTATTTGAATATCGATTTCCACTGAAAAATTCTCCATTGGAAACTATAAATGATGGATTTTCATTTGACACATTATATGTATTTGGTATACTTGGTGTTATTATTTCTCCAGTACCACCCAGTAAACACTTTCTACCCTCATAAATGTTACCTATAAAAATAATAAAAAGTATATTATGAGTTGTACAATATTTAAAATGATGTCTACACAAATTATTAAAACTACTTGACTTGGTTACAAAATAAATTATCATTATTTTAAATAACTACCAATTAGTTATGAATTATTTCATAAATAAACACGTTTAAAAAAAAAAAATAGTTTTCCACTTTACACTTACCTACAGATCTTTCAAAACCTTTTATTGAAACGGTATATATATTTTGACTAGCTTTATGTCGAAGCGATATATATATGTCTAAACGTTGCATTACACTGTCAATTTGTTCGTGGGTTAATACCATTTCGTCTTGCGGAATGTCAAACATAAGAAGCAATGGTAATGATCCCTAAAAATAAAGAGTTCCGTTTATAAATATTTTAATATTTTAATTTAGCAAAATATGAATAAAATATTACAATAAGCATTTGACGGGCTGCGTAGACATTATGTATATGCCCAGTGATGGTTACACTGCTTTTTTTAATGGAAGGTATATTTGGGTCCTTAGCATCCGGAAACAATATTTGGGCTCCAGTTCGACGAGTGATAGCTCTAAGTGTTTCATTGCCTGGCCCCATTACTATTTTATGATGTTGAGGAGATATTTCCATAACCATAAGTATTAAAACTTGATTCTAAAATTGGAACAATATTATAATTTTATATTAATTTTATTCACATATTTTTCATTGACAAATTAGTAAACATAATAGTTAACTAATATTTAAAAGTATACTAAAATTATTTAATTTAACTTATTGAGATTTTTACTAAGTTGTGGACTTTAGAGCCACTTTTAAATTTTTTTAAATATAAAAACTTCAACTACATAAACTACATTTGTATCTAAGTATTCAACTATCTATGGCTTTAATACGGAGGGGTAGTTTATAAAATAAATATTTGTTAAACCATTAAAATATTTTGTATATAATCAAAAAATGTAACAATAAAACAAATAATAAAAATTACAATACTTTTATACTTATTAAACGGCATAAAAAATCATCTAATATTATACCACTTTATAAATTTTATCAGCTAGTGAGACATTTTTTATTCCAGCATTAATAATATTTATGCCTATTAATTTATCATTCAAATAGAATTATATATATTTAGTTTGTGATGATATACAACATAGTTATAATATTCTAATAAGTAATAATTTATTTTAAATTACTATAATATTTAATATCTTACTGCAAGGTTTCCACACATATGAGTTATAAGTTGCATGGTAGCTTCTTTCACTCTCACGACATCCCATTCGTGGCCCTTAACCATAACCATAGTCGAATGAAGCTTTGGTCTAGTACGAAACATAACATGAACATTAAAATTGTCTTGAATAGAGCCAATGTATGGGAATTGACTAGATGGATCTTGATAATTTTGAACGGTCCCAATGTTTGGCCAGTCAAAACAAAATATCAACGGAGTCAATTCCTAAAATCAAAAATGATTCAATTAATATTTTTTTCAAACAGATAACACCCTTGGCTCCCTTCCTATAGCAAAATATTCTTAATTCCCATCATTTTCCTACATTTTTAAGTTTTTTTTTTTTTTAACAATTCAAAATACTTGTCAACTTGCCCTAACAAACACAGTTCACAAATATATTTCTATTTTCCTTGTTACCAGTATTACCTACATTGTTTACTAGGGAAAATTTCCAAGATTCAATTCATGGTTCTTTCATAGTTTCATAGTTATATATTTAAATAATAATTATTATTCAAAACTCAAAAATGTATAATATAATGGAAATGATAATGTATAACTTAGTACTTACTCGAACACGAGCTCTAGCTCGTTCTACAGCACCACAATTGCCAGCGATAGAAACTTGATTACTTTTTTCTAACAAACTTGTTCTATTTGAATCTGGAAAGTGTATATGACAACCAGTGTTTTCCATCACTTGTTTAATGGTCAGACCTCCACGGCCAATAATATGTGAGTGATCAGTGTAACTAAGATCCAGCTTCATTGTCACGCGATTGCTCTAGATATAATTTAATATGATTATTTTTGAGTAGGTAATTAAATATGTTGTTTAGGGTAAAAGAAAATATTCTCACTCGATCATCCAATACACTCATCACTTGCATTTTAGCCGCCTTAACATCTTCTGGGAGTCCTGCGATTCGAACATGTGGATCTATAGAATACATTTAAAAGTTCAGATTATTATACATTTAGTAATACATACAAGTTTTTATATATTGAATGTATATAATAATATAAGGTGATTATTGTAGTTAATAAATAAAAAGAATATTTATGATATAGCTCTAGACTTTTTTTTCTCCCTCAGTGAATCGGAAATAGAGCATATTGCCATTATATGTAATATTACTATTATATATATGTATTTAAAAATAATAATAAAACAAAATTGATTCTAAGTGATAATAATTTTTTTTTTTTTTAAATTTTAAATGCTCATAAAATGGTTTTAACTTAACTCTTAACAAATATGAAAAATTGTAGGTAAACGATTGGTTAGTGAAACATTTTGAGACAGGATATTTTAGGTATAGTTAAGATGTGGTTCAATTACTAATTTATAATTTCTATAGTCCTTTTAGTACACAATAGAAAATAAATGATACAATATTAAAATAAATCTAAACATGGTATAAGATTTAACAATGGTCAGTGAACATTGATTATTTTGAAACAACAACCTTAGTCTATACTTTTAATTTCATAATCTAAAACAAAATATAATTCGTTTTTGTCAAGTGAACAATTGACACTTACTCTTCTTATCTAATTATTAAGTAAAAATGCTTATAAATAAAAACTATTTACCTTAAATGCTCAATAAATCAACCTTATGATATTAATATGATATTTATATTTATAGTGAACTTTAATATGATATTTATATATTTTAATGTTTAGAAAAATATTCCATTTCAGATTATGTTGGGTGCTCATTGTTAAAATAATCAAACTCTATAATAAATTAAATAAATATTAAATTTCTAAGCAGTATTTTCAATACAGAATTTATATTATTAACCATAATAGTATACACTGACTTTTATTTTACTACTGCCATATTATTTCATATTTGTAACACCTATAGAATGTGTTCTGGGGGAAGTGACTAGCCTACGTCATATGAAAGTATACCGAAAATGATGAAAAATACCCTTTAAAGATTGGGTCTAACTTATTTATTTTTTAAGTTATAGGAAATTAACTTTTTTTTTATCAAAAACAAACCTATCACGCATTTGTCTATGTATCTTCAAAACTTTTCAACATTTTGACATCATTTTTTTTTATATTTAAGCTATTTAATTGTTCTATCAACCAACATATTACACAATTAAACCAGAAATGTGCAAATTATTTTTAATAAATTAAAAAAGTAAACATTTAAAAATGAATCCATATTAAATACTAAATTATTTGTACTAATGTTTTTAAAAATACAAATTTTTGATAAAAAAATGTTTTTTCAATTTATTAAAAATAATTTGTACATTTCTGGTTTAATTGCTTTTTTTGGTCAATAGAACAATATCTTTTAAATAAAAAAAAAGTTACATCAAAATGTTGAAAAGTTTTCAAGATACATAAACAAATGCGTGATAGGTTTGGTTTCGATAAAAAAAAAGGTTAATTGCCCATAACTTAAAAAATATAAAAGTTAGACCTAATCTTTAAAGGATATTTTTCATCATTTTTGGTATACTTCCATATGACGTCGGCTAGTCACTTCCCCACATTGTATATAAATATTAAGTAAATTGACATACATAATATATCCCATCCGTTATAAATCAATTTTTAATAGATAATTATTAAACTATTAAAATAGTTGGTATCCAAGTTTCTAACCAATAAAGATGACCTCTTCGGATTAAAACCTATGTATTTCTACTTCGATTGATTACACTGAGACTGTATATTATAGGTACTTAGTGTTCAATCTTCCTAATGTACTGTCCCACATCAGCATATTAATATTATACATTTATACCACAGAACAATAATTATTAATTTTAAAATAAAAATTCCAAACATTCAATCAATATTATGTTGACTTTATCAGTTAACATGCTGGAAGCAACGAAAGGGCTTTCAATTTATTGTAATCAATGACAGACCACAGAATAGATTTAATTGTGACAGACTTTTTTTTCATAATATACAACATATGCATCAAAATATTTAATATTACATACTATTACAGTATGTCAGACGTCAGTACCTATATTAGGCTATACTATAAAAATCATAATATGTTATCAGTTTACTTTACAAATGTTGAAATGTCAGTTTACATTACTTGAAGGTATTATTATAAACAGTAAGCAATATTTTTACTGTGTAGATATTCACCTTTAAGAAAAAGATTTATATTATATACAATTTTTTTAAATCGTAGATGAAAGTCAATGAATGTTAAAATTTCAAAATATTTTAATATACCTAGGTAATATGTCTATAAACATTATTATATATTTGTAATTCAATTACAAAACTAAAAATGTTTGTTCAAATAAGATATTAAATTATGTACCAAAATACAAAGATTTAGTATTTTACCTGTAGGTAGAGGAGGTAGATGGCAGTTTCAATGAAACAGACCATGCAACTAGCCATAAAATTAATTAATCAATGATATAATATTGTATACATATTCTTATAGTAATTGATGAATCAATAATTAAAACATAGGTACCTATAATAATAAAGGTAGCCTGTAGGAGCTATGAAATGCAAATGTCAGAATTATTATCTGCCTAGTATCTACATAAGTTGTACAACATACCTTGAGTTTTATGAGCCTTATACTCAGTATTTAAAATTTCTATCCATAAAGTATCATCCTTAGTTGACCAAAAGAAAGTCTGTTGCGGTCTATAATTTAAAAACTTAAAAGCCTCTTTATTCCGTCTTAGATCAGTAAGCAATTGAAATAAACGAGATGTATTTATCATTGTATTGGTAATAATAAATAGCATCAATAACAAATAATAAAATACAATTTGATGTAAATAGAATTGAACGTATAAATCATTTAAGACAAGAAACCTAAAGTAACGCAAATATTCGACACGAGTGTGTCTTGTACACAATGTACACTTGTCTACTTGTCTACTTGTTTATGTAAAGAGTAAAGATAACTACCTACATTTTTTTAACGACATATTTAGTATTTTAGTCGTCGGTCGATCTAACATACTTTTGAAAAGTAGGGATATAATCTTGAGAGTATGATATTTATAGTAAATTGAATTGATACGGCTGTGGTGCTATAGCTATCGGAAAAAAACATTATCAATCATCATTACAATATTTATTATTTTATTAATACCAATATCAATTCATTCTCTCTACTTTATTTCTTTATCAGAATTATCAAAAACGACAATAACTGTAATAGGTACATAATCGAAAGTAGTAAAATGTTTTCTTCAAATTTTAGAAAAAGTCCCTCCGAGCTTAGATAATAACACTAAGTGGCATGGCACAATAATGTAGGTATGGACTAGGTGATTCGTCTAATAAATAACCCCGAAAATAACCCTATAATAAAAATGATTTGTAAGGTGTATCAGGTGTACCTAATAATTAATAATTTAAAACAAATTGTAAATTTTTTAAATCATGGTAAATAATAATATGTAAAAAAAATATATATATAATATTAATATTATCTATTTTATAATCTTTTTCTTAAATTCAAAAATGTATTTATTATTTTTTTATTTCTTTTAAATTTATCACATTTAAAATTTAATAATTATAATAATAGGTTACAATGATGTGTGTTTTTATAAGCATTTAAATTTCAAATTTTGGCAAAAGACAATTCATAAATTTTACCGTATTAATAATAAAACCGCCGATAAGATAAAAGTAAATTTAGTAAAGATTTGAAATTATAACATTCATCAGTCATCAACAGTTATTGATATCTTTGAAAATATTAAAAATACAAACATTAAACGCATAAAAAAATAATTGTTTAAGCCAATATTTATGAAACTTTAAATATAGATAAAGAACATATAATATCGGGAAAGCCGAAAGGACATTTTATTGAATTTTAAATAGTTCAAATTGTAAGCTAAACTGTACTTTGGATATTGTATAATGTGTAGTTTAGTTTTAAAATCTATTAATATGGAAACATTTTTGTTTGAACTTGGCTGAGACTTGAGTATATGCGTACGACTCAAAATAAAAATTCGTAATTAACTCTAATATGAATACACAATGATTTAAGGTAGTAGTTCAAAAAATACTATGTAACAAAAAGTTCTATATAAAAGTAAAATATTGTGACGTTGAGACAAATGAGGGAGGATGGTAAAAGGGTGGGCCCTTGTGGATATGTTTGCCCCTCAAAATATTTTGAAGGATCGCCATATAGTTGTCTACAAATATCAAAATGCATCAAATTACACAGCATTTTTTACAAACTGAAGTTGAAAATGTGTGCTTTGTCAGAAACTTTTAAAATTGAATACAAGGTTCCTCGTTAGTTTTTAAAACTGGATTTAAAAAAAATATATTAAATCTACAATAGTTTTTTATAAAAGTTTGAAATAAGAATTTTGATGCTATTAGTCAAAATCGGAAAAAATTACAAATTATTTTATAGTTTAAAGTTCATAAAGTGATTAATATTCTCATACCTAAAACAGATTACATTACAATAATATTCCATATAAATTGAATTTAAACATAGAAATATAGAATAACGGTACACCTCCATATGGTATTATTATTTTATTATAATAAATTCTAATTAGAATATTTTTAATAGGTAGTATCATTCGTAGAAACTTGAACATTTTCACTGTTACTTGAACTATTATTTTATTTATTCAATGAATTAACTTTCGTCTTTCATCATATTTAGACTAAATTTAAGCTATTTATAGCCTTATAGACATTAGACATTTTCGTTTTAGATTCTGAGTGGAAAGATGAATGTATTGATTTTACAATGATGTGTATTTTTTTTTTTTGTGTGTCTGTCATCACCTTTTAGGACAGTAAAAGTGCTTGGATTTTCTTCAAAGGTATCTTTTCTGATAGGAAAGTGAATCTAGTTGGTACTAGTAAGCTCCATGATATATTGGTACAATAACACTTGAAAAATATTAAAAATACATTGGCACAATTTTTTTTTATAAGCATTTAAAGATCAAATTTTAACAAAATTTATCACATTTAAAATTTAATAATAATTTTATAGTTAAAAATTTATAAAATGTTCAACTTTTATAGTTAATAATTGAAAGTTTAAAACAAGATTCTACGTAAATAGGTTATATATAAATTACTTTATTCAAATTAGTATCATCAAATATACTTAGTAATATCATAGGCTGACTAACCGTTTTCGCTCAGAATCGTTTTTTTTATACAATGATATTATATTATTGAATTCAAATTTAATACCATCTATTATACAGTGACCCACTTGTAACCTACTGTACAGCAGAGCACCTTTTTTTATTATCGATAAAAAACTTAAGGCTTGGAGAATGTAATACAAGATTCCACATAAATTGTTCTTTTAGTAATTTAAAAGTATTAAAAATGAATAGCCACGATTTCTGATTCTAAGAGGAGTGATGAATGTATTGATTTTAATGCAGACTTGGGTAAAATAGGTACTTTTTAAAAGTATTCCAAATATTTTTTGAATAATTTTTTTTAGTATATTTTGATTTCAATTGCAAAAATATTATTTTTTCAATTCTATGTTTATAAATGAACATTATTATAATCTCGATAATACACACCTATCAGCATAGGCGCAATTTGGGGGGTGCTTGGGGGTGCTTAGCACCCCCAAATTTTCAACAGCATCATTTAATTGTAATTGGTTATACACGTATTATGTCATAGACAACAGGATAAATTAATTTCTAAGATTTGACTTATATAATAATAATAATAATAATAATAATAATAATAATAATAATAATAATAATAATAATAATAATAATAATAATAATAAATAATAATATAAAATACCGTTTTTCGGATGAAAGTTTAGTTTTAGCTAACTCATTAGACCAGTTTATGAAAATGGATTTTGAAAAAGGTTCATATTTCATCAATCATTACAAGGTTCGTAACTAGTAAATTATTTATAAACTAAATAATAATAACTCATTAATTGAATTCATAATAATTATAAATAGGTATCTAACAACCATGTATATATTATATTGTTGTGATTAATGTAATGTAGGTTAATTTTTTAAATAAAATAATCATGTGAGGATAATATAATTTCAGGATGTTGTGAATATTGATTTAACATCATTGAAAGCAGAAATGTTGCTGACAAAAAATTGTTTACAAAATTTTGATATACTTGGAATAAAGAAAGTGGTGACTGAAGATGTTTTTCCAAACTTGTTTAAACTTATTCAAGTAGGATTAGCTATTCCTATAAGCTCAGCTACTTGTGAAAGGTCTTTTTCATCTATGCGCCAAATAAAGAATTGGCTTAGGACAAGCATGGAACAGTCAAAATTTACAGATTTGTCAGTTATTAATATTGAGAGAGATCTAAGCAATAAAATTTATAAAGATAAAATAATAAATAATTTTGCTATGTCTCTTTAGTATAATATTTAAATGAAAATAAAAAACGTATTAACCTGTATTATATATTTATTTTTCAAATATTAATAATTATTGATTAATCAGGTAGTATTATGAATGCATGAATGGTGTTATGAGGGGGGTGTGGGGGGCTTCGCCCCCCACGGGTTACTTTGGTCCACATAAATCTAGCACCCCCATAAATTTAGCCCAAATTGCGCCTATGCCTATCAGGCTATCTATTAGTTATAAATTATATTCAAATTAATATAGTTAATAAGTAATAATTAGTAATATATTAGAGTTTTTATATTATATCATTAAATTCAAATTTAACTCCATCTATTACAGTAACCCACTATTGTAACCTACTGTACAGCAGAGCGACACCCACTTGCCCACCTTTTTTATATATACAGTTTTGACAAAATTCAGTCAAATTTCTAAATTATTGTATTGTTAACAATGGATAAAATTTAAAATTTTTTAAGCTTATAATTATTTATACATTTAATACAATATCCATTATAAGTTTGGTTCATATTGAAATTTAAAAATATAAAAAATACATTGATATCTATATTTTTTTATAAAAATACGAAGTTTAAAATTGCATAACATTTTATATGTAAAAAAAAAAACTATTTATTAATTATCATCAACAAAACGTTTTAGTTATTTTGTTGTAATTCCAATAATATTAATAGTAGTCACTTGAAGCATTTTGCTATTATGTATACCTAATATTATGATTAATACAAAATATTTAATGAATTAGGTAGGTACCGATGTCTAATTGTAATTTGTAAGCTATTTACCTATACTAGGAGCCTATTCACAACTTTTGCTGTACTTCGGTATTGATTTAGAAGCTAATTAGTGTTAGTAATAACTTTAAGGTAATAAATAATTAAACATTTCATATTATAATAACTATTATATAAATTATATAATATAATATATGGAATATTTTTGGCAAAAATTAGTTTCTTTACCGTATTACTTAAGTATACCAATGAAAAAATAAATTACTAATAACTTACTAGTACCTATTTAAAGTTTAGATAAGAGGACTAGGTCTTATACCACGTAAAATAAACTATAGTAGGTTATTACTTTTTAGCTATTATAGATTTTAGATTTAGATACCAACCTTTTTTTGATTTTGCTCCAATTTTCAGTCTAGTTGGCCACAAAATGAGTGTTCTTGTATCAGTCATTACCTTAAAAAGATGTAAACTTATATGTTATGTCAACTTTACATTATCGCAATGTATAAATAATCAATATGTTCATAAAAATAAAAATTTGTTAAAAATAATTACTTTTTGAAAAAAGTTGACTGCTGTTAATCCGTCCTCACCATCACCTAAAAAATACATGATTTATATAAATTAGATTTTCATTAGATATTTTTAAATTTCTAAATTATGTACAAGGTATACATTATTATTAGGTTTATAATATATTAAAATAAAATATCATTTAACAGATACTATAACTATTATCTATTAACTATTAATTTGTCTATTTTTCATTCATAAAAAAATCAATGATAAAGCATTTATGAACTATTACAAATAAATAAATAACTCTGACCGTCCTATAAAATAATTTTATAATGTGTTTACAATGTTATAATTTATGAAACCTTAGATAGTATGAGTCTTCTATAATAAGACGTAGTTACAAACAACCTATTGGTTGGAAATTGATTTAAAATGTGCAGAAGACTCTCATTGTCACTCATTATGAGGCCTCAATAACATGTCGATAGGTACCTGAAATATTTTAGACTTACGCCTATATAATTATATCTATAGAATAATATGATACCACATGTTTGAATTTAAAATCTACAATATTTAAGTCGCTAATTTAAATATTGATGCAATAAGAATGTAAGCTAGGTCTATATAAGTATAATAGTTGGTAGGAATTTAAGTGGCTACGATATGAGGTATAAGGTACGAGAGATATTTTCCATGGAGCCATGGAGGTAATATACTAATAATATGCGGTAATAAACGATACTTCAGGCATAAAAATTTGGAGCTGATTAAACTTTTTTGTGTATAATATATGTATATCAATAACAGCCCGCCATGAAATACGATTTCTTTGAGTAGAATAGAATTAAATTAAATTGATATTATTGTCACATTTAAAAGACATTGAAACATATAATATAGTCTTTATAAATTACATTTTATTTATTTTATGATGTTCCGTTGACCGTTGTTTATATGAATGTACTTAGGTACTACACCTACTATAAATATGTAATATAGGTAGGTACCTAAATTTAAGATGTAATTTTAGATTCTGAGAGGAGCGATATTTGTACCTATTGATTTTACAGTAATTTTTTTTTTTTTTTATGTGTCTGTCATCAGTCATCATCTTCTAGGACAGTAAAAATGCTTAGATTTTCTTCAAGCTTCAACAGTATCTTTTCTGATAAGAAAGTGGATCTAGTTGGTATACTTTAGATGGTGGTCTAAAGTAAAAATTCCTAATTATTTTCGAAAGGAAATTAAAAATTAAAGGAAAACGGTAATTTTTACGCAAACAACATAACATACATTCGACAAAATCAATTTTTGTTTTTGGTATAACTCTAAAACAAATGGCTGTCATATAGTATGCGGTCTACCGGTGAATTTACGAGTATAGTATGCGGTCCACCTACTATTTACGAATATAGTAAGCGGTCTACCACAAATAAATAAAGTATCAATTATATCATAATATTATAGTATAATTGTTGTCAAAAATGATGAATATTGTGCATTATTGTGCATTATCTTAAATAATTAAAAAAAATTAATATTTAAAAATTTGTTTGTCAAAAATATTGTTGTCAAAAAAAAAAATATATAATAATAATAATAATTTATAAAAAAAATTATGTTGTTCATATTACATAAACTTCAGCCATATCTCTCAAAAATGCATTAAATAAATCCGATTTATTTATTCCTCGCCACCATCTTTTTCAAGCCGCTTTTGAAAACTACTGGGAAATTTTCATTTTTGACCCCCCCAAAGTACTAACTAGATTCACTTTCCTATCATAAAAGCTACTGTTGAAGAATATCCAAGCACTTTTACTGTCCTAAAACGTGATGACAGACACAAAAAAAAATAAAAAAAATAAATACATTCATCGTTTCATCATTTTAGATTCTGAGTGAAACGATGAATGTATTGATTTTACAATGATGTGTGTTTTTTTATTTTTTTATTTTTTTATTTTTTTATTTTTTTATTTTTTTTGTATCTGTGTACACGATAAGTAGTCGAAATAATGCTTCGATTTTCGACTTCAGTATCTTGTTCGATTGGAAAGTGAATATCGTTGGTGCATTGGGGAGGTCAAAATTTAAATTTCCCAGTAGTTTTCACAAGCGCCGGGAAAAACAACATAAAAATTAAGGAAAAACGGGAATTTTTACGCAAAATCGATTTTCCAAAAAATCGATTTTGGTTATTGGTGTAACTCTAAAACAAATGAAAGTATATACATGAAATTTTCACTGGTTGTTTATATTTGCATTTTCTATACACGATAACATTTTCAAAATATTTTGATTTATTTTGAACTGTTTAGGGACATTTTCATTTTCCATTTTTTTTTAGTTTTTTTTCTAAAAATATCAATAAAATTTTATTCATTGATTGCGAAAGCTTGAAAATTTAATAGAAGGTTCCTAATATGTTGTTTCAAAGGCAGATGAAAAATATTAAAAATCCTTAGTCACAATTTTTTTTTATAAGCATTTAAAGTTCAAAAATTGACAAAATATGGAAAAATCACGAAAATTAGCAAATTATTTTGAGTTAAGAATTCGTAAAAATTTTTCTTTTTAAATCTAAGATTTGAAAATGAAACACAAGATTCCTTATAAGATTATCAACCTTTATCAATAAAAAATCTCTACCGGACAGTCAAATTAAATTTTTATGAGCGTTTGAAATTCAAATTTTTACAACATTGGATTTTCACTGGATTACTCATGTAGCGATTTCCTTATTTTGTTGCAATTCAAAAACGAACAACTGTAGATACATGAAAATTTCACTGAATGTTTAAATTAGCATTTTCTATACACCATACAATTTTGAAAATATTTTGACTCTTTTTGAGCTGTTTATGGACATTTACAGCTTTCAATTTTTTTTAGTTTTTTTTTCTATAAATATCAATAAAGTTTTATCTGTTGGGCCAAAAAGTGTAAAAATTTAATACAAGGCTCCTGATATATTGTTACAATAGCAGTTGAAAAATATTAAAAATACATAGGCACAGTTTTTTTTTATATCCATTTAAAGATCAAATTTTGACAAAATTCATCAAAATCTTGAAAATTATCAATCATTGTAATTAATAAATTATAAAATGTTCAGTTTTTATAGCTAAGGATTACAAATTCAACACAAAGGTTCTCATAAACAGTTCATACTATAACCAAAAAATCTAAATATATGAACACACTTATTTTTATAGTCATTTTATGTTCAAATTTGGACGAAATTACATATTAAAAAACCTAGTTATTTTGTTGTGATTATATAATATTATTCGTGGGTACCTACTTGAAACTTCTAAAGTGTACTATTATATATATATGATAGTATCAGGGTTTGTTATTGATGTTAATGTATAACGTGTTATAAGTACCTAATGAATATTGTGATAATGTGATATGATTAATTTGGAATTTATTATAGGTCAATTTTTTTTTTAATACCATAGATATGTATATAATTTGTATTAAACCTAGACTGACATACCGTCTTCGCTCAGAATCGTTTTTCTTATACAATGATATTGTATCATTGAATTCAAATTTAATAGCATCCATTATACAGTGACCCACATGTAACCTACTGTACAGCAGAGCGACATCCACTTACCCACCTTTTTGACTTTTGTATTGTGTCAGAATTTAGAACCACCTTCTATAACTTTTGTGAAAATGAAATCAGTCATTAAAAACCAAAATAAAATAAATGTACTGTAAATATACATATAAAAATAAAGTAAACATAGGCTTCATCGACAGGGGCAGCCTAGCTAATAACCAGTGCTACCTTATAAGCACGATTTAAGATAGTACAATCTTAAATCGTGCTTATAAGTGAACTGAAAAAAGCCCTATACACCCAAAGCCGTATTTTTTTAATCCCCTCTCCACAATTAATTATGTATGTAATTTAAAAAAAGTCTAAATTATCTATTTACATTAATAATCTACAGTAACTTCAAAAAATAATATTATTCATCTACAGCCAACCAGTCGATCGTTATAAAAATTAATTTTACCATTATCGGTCAATCGTAAATACGATATAAAAAAAAAACCACACAACATTGTCAAATCAATGCATTCAATAACAAATTACAGTAAATAAATTAAATTTTCCCTGTTTGTTCTTTACACAATGACATTTTCAAAAAATATTTTTTAACTGTTTGCTGACATTTTCAGTTTCCATTTTTTATAGTTTTTTTTCTACGAATGTCAATAACATTTTATTTGTTGGGTAAAAAAGCTTAAAAATTTTAATTTAATACATGGTTCTCAAAAAATATTAAAAATCCAGTTACAATTTTTTTTATAAGCATTTAGTTCGCTTTTGACGAAACACTAATCACGAAAATGTGGAAAATTATTTTGAGTTGGAAATTCCTAAAAATGTATCTTTTTAAATCTTTTTTTTTTTTGTCTTTTATTTAATTTGTACAATCTGTAAAAAAATATATTTACAATAAGCACAATGGAGGGATACATAATAGGTTATGGTTGGTTTGTTTGAAGAAGCTATTCAATAATAGCACTTCATGGCGGGATAGTAGTGGTTAGTGGACTAGTCAACTAGTCGACCAGTAGGTCACGGCACCAGCTACGCTTTTAAATCTAAGATTTTAAAATGTAATACAAGATTCCTTCTAAGGTTACCTTTATCAAAAAAAAAAGGTGGGCAAGTGGGTGTCGCTCTGCTGTACAGTAGGTTACAAGTGGGTCACTGTATAATGGATGGTATTAAATTTGAATTCAATGATATAATATCATTGTATAAGAAAAACGATTCTGAGTGGAGACGGTAGTCAGTATAGGTTTAACACATATTATATACATTTCTATGGTATTAAAAAAAAAATTGACCTATAATACGAGTAGGTACCTATAATAAATTCCAAAATTAATCATATCACAATATCCATTAGATACTTATAACGCGTTATACATCAACAAAAACCGTGATACTATCATAGATATATAATAGTACACTTTAGAAGTTTCAAGTACCCACGAATAGTATTATTCAATCACAACAAAATAACTAAAATCGTAATTCTTGGTTTAAATATGAAATTTTGTCTAAATTTGAAATTAAAATGTCTGTAAAAAATAAGTGTGTTTATATATTTTTTAGATTTTTTGGTTACAGTATGAATTATTTAAGAGAATCTTTGTTTTAAATTTTCAACTCTTAGTTATAAAAACTGAACATTTTATAATTTTTTAATTCCAACGATTGATAATTTTCGAGATTTTGATAAATTTTATCAAAATTCCAACTTTAAATGCTTATAAAAAAAAATCGTGCCTATGTATTTTTAATATTTTTCAACTGATATTGTAACAATATATCAGGAGCCTTGTATTTAATTTTTACACTTTTTGGCCCAACAGATAAAACTTTATTGATATTTATAGAAAAAAAAACTAAAAAAAATTGAAAGCTGTAAATGTCCATAAACAGCTCAAAAAGAGTCAAAATATTTTCAAAATTGTATGGTGTATATGAAATGCTAATATAAACATTCAGTGAAATTTTCATGTATCTACAGTTATTCGTTTTTGAATTACAACAAAATAAGGAAATCGCTACATGAGAAATCGAGTGAAAATCCAATGTTGTAAAAATTTGAATTTCAAACGCTCATAAAAATTTAATTTGACTGTCCGGTAGAGATTTTTTTATTGATAAAGGTAGATAATCTTATAAGGAATCTTGTGTTTCATTTTCAAATCTTAGATTTAAAAAGAAAAATTTTTACGAATTCTTAACTCAAAATAATTTGCTAATTTTCGTGATTTTTCCATATTTTGTCAATTTTTGAACTTTAAATGCTTATAAAAAAAAATTGTGACTAAGGATTTTTAATATTTTTCATCTGCCTTTGAAACAACATATTAGGAGCCTTCTATTAAATTTTCAAGCTTTCGCAACCAACAAATAAAATTTTATTGATATTTCTAGAAAAAAAACTAAAATAAAATGAAAAATGAAAATGTCCCTAAACAGTTCAAAATAAATCAAAATATTTTGAAAATGTTATCGTGTATAGAAAATGCAAATATAAACAACCAGTGAAAATTTCATGTATCTACGGTCATTTGTTTTAAAGTTACACCAATAACCAAATTCGATTTTTTGGAAAATCGATTTTGCGTAAAAATTCCCGTTTTTCCTTAATTTTTATGTTGTTTTTTCCCGGCGCTTGTGAAAACTACTGGAAAATGTTTACTTTTGACCCCCCAAAGTACCAACTAGATTCACTTTCCTATCAGAAAAGGTACTATTGAAGAAAATCGAAGCACTTTTACTGTCCCAAAACGTGATGACAGACACAAAAATATAAATAAAAATATAAAAAAGGTGGGCAAGTGGGTGTCGCTCTGCTGTACAGTAGGTTACAAGTGGGTCACTGTATAATGGATGGTATTAAATTTGAATTCAATGATATAATATCATTGTATAAGAAAAACGATTCTGAGCGGTGACGGTATGTCAGTCTATGTATCAGACATATTATATACATATTTATGGTATTAAACAAAAAATTGACCTATAATAGGTACCTATAATAAATTCCAAATTAATCATATCACAATATCCATTAGATACTTATAACGCGTTATACATCAACAAAAACTGTGATACTATCATAGATATATAATAGTACACTTTAGAAGTTTCAAGTACCCACGAATAATATTATTCAATCACAACAAAATAACTAAAATAGTTATTCTAGGTTTTTTAATATGTAATTTCGTCCAAATTTGAATTTAAAATGTCTGTAAAAAATAAGTGTGTTCATATATTTAGATTTTTTGGTTATAGTATGAACTGTTTATGAGAACCTTTGTGTTGAATTTGTAATCCTTAGCTATAAAAACTGAACATTTTATAATTTATTAATTACAATGATTGATAATTTTCAAGATTTTGATGAATTTTGTCAAAATTTGATCTTTAAATGGATATAAAAAAAAACTGTGCCTATGTATTTTTAATATTTTTCAACTGCTATTGTAACAATATATCAGGAGCCTTGTATTAAATTTTTACACTTTTTGGCCCAACAGATAAAACTTTATTGATATTTATAGAAAAAAAAACTAAAAAAATTGAAAGCTGTAAATGTCCATAAACAGCTCAAAAAGAGTCAAAATATTTTCAAAATTGTATGGTGTATAGAAAATGCTAATTTAAACATTCAGTGAAATTTTCATGTATCTACAGTTGTTCGTTTTTGAATTGCAACAAAATAAGGAAATCGCTACATGAGTAATCCAGTGAAAATCCAATGTTGTAAAAATTTGAATTTCAAACGCTCATAAAAATTTAATTTGACTGTCCGGTAGAGATTTTTTTATTGATAAAGGTTGATAATCTTATAAGGAATCTTGTGTTTCATTTTCAAATCTTAGATTTAAAAAGAAAAATTTTTACGAATTCTTAACTCAAAATAATTTGCTAATTTTCGTGATTTTTCCATATTTTGTCAATTTTTGAACTTTAAATGCTTATAAAAAAAAATTGTGACTAAGGATTTTTAATATTTTTCATCTGCCTTTGAAACAACATATTAGGAACCTTCTATTAAATTTTCAAGCTTTCGCAATCAATGAATAAAATTTTATTGATATTTTTAGAAAAAAAACTAAAAAAAAATGGAAAATGAAAATGTCCCTAAACAGTTCAAAATAAATCAAAATATTTTGAAAATGTTATCGTGTATAGAAAATGCAAATATAAACAACCAGTGAAAATTTCATGTATATACATTCATTTGTTTTAGAGTTACACCAATAACCAAAATCGATTTTTTGGAAAACCAATTTTGCGTAAAAATTCCCGTTTTTCCTTAATTTTTATGTTGTTTTTCCCGGCGCTTGTGAAAACTACTGGGAAATTTATACTTTTGACCCCCCAAAGTACCAACTAGATTCACTTTCCTACCAAAAAAGCTACTGATGAAGAAAATCCAAGCACTTTTACTGTCCCAAAACGTGATGACAGACACAAAAAAAATATAAAAATATAAAAATATAAAAATATAAAAAAAAACACACATCATTGTAAAACCAATACATTCATCGCTCCGCTCAGAATCTAAAATATAAAAATATAAAAAAAAACACACATCATTGTAAAACCAATACATTCATCGCTCCGCTCAGAATCTAAAACATACATCATTGTAAAACCAATACATTCATCGCTCCGCTCAGAATCTAAAATGTCTAAGAAAATCAAATTAATTTTTTATGAGCGTTTTAAGTCCAAATTTTTACAACATTGGGTATTCATGTGATTTCTTGTGTAGCGATTTTCTTATTTTGTTGTAATTCAAAAACAAATAACCGTATACACTTGAGATTTATATCACATGTTTATTTTATCAATTCCTATATTATAACATTTTCAAAATATATTGACTAATTTTGAGCTGTTTAAAGACAATTTAAAATTTCAATTTTTTTTTTTTCTATAAATATCAATTAAATTTTATTTGTTGAGCCAAAAAGCCTCAACATTTAATAAAATAAGGCTCCTGATATATTGGTTAAATAGCAGTTTTTTTTTGCATTTAAAGTTCGATTTTTGACACAAGAAACATTTGATTTCTCAAGGCGTATGTTTACGATGTTTAAATTTTTTGCTACCTAGTTGTAAGAATTTTTAAATTAAAATATTTTACATGCTCACAACTTAATTAAAAATTAAAAGTCGTAAAAATCCCAAGAGAAAACCCGGACCATGTTCTTACCTTTTAGTTTGATAATAGGTCAGTTCACTCTAATATCAAAACTAACAGCACACAATGGAAACTACCTAGATAATGAAAATTTGTTACGTAGGTAGTACATTTGTAAGACGCAGACACAAAAAACGCATGGGTAGCGTCCTCTTAACATTCTTAACATTTTAAATAGATACCTATTTAAATTTAAAACTAGGAAACAGCTTGTTCGTATTACCTATACGCTATACATCTTTATTTATTAAACATTTAATTATGTTCATGCATATGAAAATTAAATTAAATAATTTTATGTTTATAACAAAGCTTAAAATTTGTAAAGTGGGTTTTTCCACAAAAACAACTATTATATAACTTTAATACTTGATCCACATAGAGGTATGCATTCGTGTTATGCTTATGTGTAACGTACTAATACATAATTCAAATTTTAATTTATTTGCACAATGGAATTAAGTAATACAAATATTTATATTTTATTAAAAATACTTACAGTGCAACATGGCCTCGAGTTTTTTTCTGTCGACTTTGAATCGTTCCTTGGCCAAATCATCGGCTGATTCTAATCCTAAAGAAGTCGCTAATTGATGCATTTCTTCTCGGCTGTCGCTATAACTCCTGCCCGATGTCCCTGTTCCAGAATCCGATATTTCGGACATTGTATCTGAGCTGGCAGCCGAAGTCATCACGATCGAAGACATCGTGGCCATGATGTTCGCTGTGCTGTTGGTCATTGTACACTGCTTGAATGACGACGTTTAACTGTCTATTTGAGTAGAATAACTGGGACGTCCAAAATATATGATATAATATAATATAGAAATCGCATTAGGTTATCTGAAGATAACGACTTCACAGATAATTGAATTTAAACCGTAAGGTAAAGTTACTAAAATAAAATCCGTCATAAACTTAATCAATTAATGTAGAGGATATAATATAATACAATATGTAGGGGTCTCCAACATTAAATTTCATATCGTAATTTCGAACATTTGATTTAATTATGATTCCTAATCTATACACTTCTATTATTTAGACAATTTTTTGACTTTGATAAATTTCCACACTAATACAAATTAACAGTATAAGTTTCTTAAGAGGATGTCAGCGCACTATTTGTTTTCTCTCTCTTTCCCACGCACAACATAGACAAAACGCATTTAAGCTTTTGTTTATTTTGAAAGTCGAATACAAAGTCAAATAACAATAAAATATAAAATCAATATGTCATTTGGAATTCCCTCAAAAATATTATTGTCTATATTTTTTGTAATAGGTGGTTTTACTCTAAGATTACTTAAAAACATAGAAAAATGATTCTGCTTAAATGCGTTTTGTCTATGTTGCGCGTGGGCCAGAAAGAGAAAACAAATAGTGCGCTTACATCCTCATTCCTCTTAACATACAAAACATTTTTAATTATTTCAAAATTTTACTTGACATTGCACATAAAAATTAAAAAAAAAATAATGCTTGACTTTGAATTGGGTTCTTATTAATGAGACAATTATTTGTAGGATTGTATTTGGCATTATATATATATATATTTTAATATGGGTCAGTTTTCGATGTTTATTTAATTAGAAATAATATACTAATAAAATAAAAGAAATAAATTATGATGTTATTATTATCAAACAGTTGTTGTTTGTAATTCATTTTTATTTTTTAAATACTTTAAAAAACAGCTCATTGTGCAGGCCCCTTAACTTTTAAAATATTTAAATTACTATGATTTTTTAAAAGCGTGTTATATAGGTATTCATGCTGTGGCATAAATATAACATTTATCTAAGCCAAGTGATTTAATATTTATGATTTTTAAAAAATCAAAATTTTTTGAAGTTATATTATATACTCGCATTCATTTGAGAGTAATAATTTAAAAAAAAAATATTTATATTTTAACAAGTACCTACCCATTTAAGTTTTTATAAAATATTAAAAAAAAATAGGTATATTTCAATGTTTTTTATGGCTTGATCAACTTTACTTAACGAAAATAATGAGATTTAAAAAAAATAAAAAAAAATATCTACACGACTTAAATATAAATGTTTGTACAATCTACATTTTCCTAAAAACCAGATTTATCAATTAACTATTTTGAATTTTTCAAAAAAAAATTAGTCAGGTCTTTCTGTTACACTCTGTTTAGGACATAATATAGGTTCCTATAGTAGGTACTAAACACATATAAAATAATATAATATTAATTTCGTATAATCGTATTACAGCAAATTGTCAATAATAGTTAATCATTATTATAAATCCATCAACTATCGAGTAAGTTAGTCCATTGGTAAGTAGGTATATTATATTACAATACTTCCATGGTACCTACTATAATTATTATAGTCTTCAGCGGTTCCCAAAATTTTATGAGCGTGACTTTAACATTTTAAATTTAACTTTTGGTGACCCAAAGAACAAATATCATAACACATATTTTATTTAATATCATCAAAAAAAATACAAAAAAAAACTGATCAGTATACAATATTATAAAAATGATTTTATTAATTGTTTAAAATTGAACATGTAATTAATTTATATTTAATGACTTCCTTGATGCTGAAAACTTTCCACAAGTTTTTCAATGTTAGGACGTATATTTATTGAAAGTGCACATTGCATATCATGTGTAGCATCAAGACGATTTCTATACTTTGTTTTTAATGACAACTAAAGCAGAAAACCCAGCTTCATATAAGTATGTGGTTGGAAATGGAAATAATTAATAATGAAATTTCAGATTCTCTAGTTAAACTTTGTTTATCTTTTGGTTGTACCCAAATTAAACAATAAATATTTAATACAAGAATAACACATCAATATTCAATACTAATATTCGTACATATACCAAAAGTACGATAAGGACGCATTGAAGTGCGCCTTGGAATTTCGGGAAATAAATAATAATACTATGAAAAAAAAAAGAAATTATATACCTATTAACACTATGCTATGAAGGTACGACCCCGCACATCCCATCCATATTTTTTATATTATAACCTAGTTAAAATTATTTTCTTCCTAAATCATTTTATTATTAGAATATTTCTAGAATTTTTTTTCTTGAAAATGAAATGAATAACTAAAATTAATATGAAAGTAATGTTTTTGCGACCCACCATAAAAACCTCTGCGACCCGTGGTTGGGAACCGCTGCGCTGGTCTATACTCTACAGCGACGTAGTCAATATACAGAAATCAGTATTAACATTGTCTATCAATCTTAAATTGGACAGATTACAGATAGTTATAATATATAGCTATTGTCATATGCCCCGTATAGCATTGTATCCATGTAGCCATGTAGGTATATATTTATATACATTATAATACATATAGGTAGGTACTACCTAGGTACGCAGCAGTGGCGTATTTACGATTTTGGGGAACTAGGTACACACATTTTGGCGCCCCTTTTTTTCTCAGTTTCCTTTTATTCATTGTCACAAAAAACTTTTAAGCCCCTCCCCTAATTTACAATTTACTTTTTCTCTCAGTTAATAGTGCAAGGCTTGAAACTGGTATAAACCGTTATAAAACCGAAACCGAGAACAAAATCAAAACCGAAACCGAAAAAAATTGGAAACCGGTATTAAATTCAATACCGACTCGAAAAAAATTGGATACCTGTTTTATAATTAAAAACCGAAAATATAATTTAAAAAATGGTATTTTTTTTGAAAATCTTTGTATCTTGACATTTTTGAAAGTTTACTTTACACAACAGGCGATCGGACGCTCGATCCAGAGATTCAAAAAAATGAATAAACTAAGAATGAACGTAAATAGTCCAGATCTTGAAACCGGTATAAACCGTTTAAAAACTGAAACCGATAACAAAATCAAAAACAAAATCGGAAAAAATTGGAATGCGGTATTAAATCCAGAACCGAAACCGAAAAAAAATTGGAAACCAGTGTACAAATCGAAACCAAACCAGACATTTTTTGAATCGGTTTCAAACCATGTAAATAAAAGGTCTAATTGATAAACCAAATTGTATATTTTCCCCTTATTGCATTAATTTATGCTTCCACTAATTTAGAGAACACTTCTATTTTACCATTAACACTCCATTTATTGCTAATAAAAAGTCAACCTCTATAATTAAATAAACAAATTATAATTTAGATTTTAGCCTTTTAGCCTTTTTTACGACAATTTAATAAAATACATACATTATATATAAATATATTTATATATATATATATATATATATATTATAAAGAAATATGTATAGAAATGTAAAAGATATTATAAGAAAGATACAGGTATTCACTTATCAGTTATCAGTTATCAGTTATCACCAATATAATTTCTCAACAACTCCAATAAAATAAAAAATAATTTTGTTATAACCTCTAGCGACGGCGGCGCCCCTTTGAGGACTCAGAATTGAAATTGCCCCCCCCCCTAAATACGCCACTGGTACGCAGACATATTATGAAGTCGCTATAACCATAGATTAATTAATATACTAGTATATTAATTAATCTATATATGCTATAACGTTGTGCCGTGCACTGAATGACCATACCGATAGACCTTTGTAGGAATCTATTATAATTTATATTAGTTTTAATATTTTTTAAACACTATAGTATAGGTAATTACTATAATAACTTACTATTTACTCGGTTACTATAAAATAGGCAAGGGGCGGAAAATATCTAATATAAATGTTTGTACACCGATAAAATTTATCTCGTACAGGTAGTCCGAACTCTAAATAAGTAATATTATTTTAAAGTTGTAAACACAATAATTATCTATACTCAATGATATTAGTTTTAGTTTGTAATTTGTATAGGTTTACATAGGTAAAGGTATTTCATAATTTCATAGCTCACGCATATCGAATAAAAATACAAAATTAATATTAAACACGTGTATTAGGTACGTGTAACGAAAAATCTTATCCCGTTTGTGGATGTTAGCAACGTAGCGGCGGTGCCAAGATGGAAGAAGAGGCGTAGTGCGTAGTACGTACCTAGTGCGAAGCTATAGTGGTTTTACAATGGTGTTAATTAATTTATTTTTTTTTATCCGGTATACAAAATTTCTACCAGAAGGAGTGCTTCGATTTCAACATAATATAGTACCTACCTCATCTATTTTAGAAAATTAGATCAAGATTTTAGAGAGGTCATTGTTACGGGAAAAACCATCGAGAAATTACAAAAAACCGCTAAAAATGGGATTTTAATTTCCAACGCTTTGTTTATCACCATAGTAACAAATAAAAAATTATAATATTATAATATCAATTTAACTGACTGCAGGCTATCATAAATAATAACAATATAAAATATCCAGACTGACTAGCCGTCTCCGCTCAGAATCGTTTTTCTTATATAATGATATCATTGAATTCAAATTTAATACAAATAATACAATTATACATTGATTCACTTGTAATCTACTGTACAGCAGAGCGGCATCCACTTACCCTCTTTTTATATTATAATATCTTAAAACTTCGAACATAATAATTTATTGATTTTTCTTATTTCTAGGACCAAGGCACCAGCTATTATATTAGGTATAAATTCAAGCCCGGATTGAGACATTTTGAGGTTCAGACGGCCAAAGTTTTAAATGAGGCCCCTGTACCAGAAAAAAATAATAATGTATATATTATTTGATATTAGGTACCTGTTATAATACATATATATGGGTTTTAGGTACATAG